AGAGACTAAAAAATAAATAAAATTCAGCCAAAATGCAGAGTCATGATAAAAGCTGGAATATAGCTACAAGCCCCAAACTTAGTATTTTGGCACATATGGTTATGAACATTATGCATAGAACTTTTTGAAAATTACCACAAAAATGAGTGGTCTTGGATCTCTAGGCTGAACTGAAAATTTCTAGATCGGTCTTTCTTGATAAAGTAGTAAGACAAATTATAAAATCAATCATAACATGCCACCCTGCCCCAAGTACTCTATCTCCTTTCCTCAAAGAACACTGATTATTGTGGGCTCTCTAAATACTGTGGAGGAATCAAAGACATAAACCTCATCCGAAGGAACCTTACAATTTAACTACAAAAGCAAGACTACAAAGAAATGCCTGAGAAATAAACCTTCCCCACACAGCAGTACTTGGTTCAAGTGCCAGAAGAGATTATAGATAAGACATACTATAAAATGGAAAAAGCATTCTGCTGGAGTGGTTTCAGCTCACTGTCTTGAACTTAGGGAACTTTAGGATTAAAAGAATGTAGAGAGGGAGAGAAAGAGTGTGAAGGAGGGTAGCAGAAGAGAGTAAAGCAACTTGAAGTAACTTGAAAATAAGCCCGAATTTTGTCTTTGGAGAACCCCCCCAATATCCTTGCAAAGCCTTTAGCTCTCCTATCAACTTCTTCCAAAACCTTTAGGTCAGTAGAGCACAAAGTGTGGTCTTTGGACAAGTAACATCATCAACCATCTGGGAACTTGAACTGCATATTCTGGGTACCATCCCAGACGTAATGAGTCAGAAAGTGGGGGAGTGGGGCAGCAAACTGTTCTTTTAACAAATCCTGTAGGTGATTCTGATGCACTCTCAAGTTGAAAACCACCCTGCTCTACAACTACTTAAGTACAACTCTCAGTAGAGGAAAGCCATCATGTTCTGAGTGCCTAACTCAGCCACTTTGCTAGGTGCAGAAAGGGAGTTAATACTGTTAGAGTAGGCATTTAGTTGGCTTCTAACAAGATGCCGCGAGGTCAGCAAAGAGGAAGTCATGGCCAACTACAAGGAAGAGGCCTGTCCTGGCAGCACTCCAAAAGAAAACCACACGGGACTTCCATCTTGACAGCTTGAGTGACCTAAGCTCATTATACAGTTGTTATATCATTAGCATTGCGGTTTTGAAGGAGCTCCGCCCCTGAAATCTCCACGAGAGTTCCTTATGGGGCAAATAAGGCAAGAAAAAGGGCATAACCTACATTCCTGGAAGAGACCACCCTGCTTCTAAGAAATCCTCACTTCAAGTAATAAATATCCCACCCCTTTGTTAGCAACTGTCAATAACAGAAACCCAAACCCAGGGGGCTCAGCACTTCCTTGAGCGCACTCGCTCTCACATCTCTATAGAGTGTACTTTCACTTTAAGAAACTTTCCTGCTTGTACGGCTCATCTACTGTGTTGTCTGTCCTTGAATTCTTTCTCCTGGCTGACCAAGAGCCTCCAGCGACATCTTTTGGAGGGGCTGGGTCAAGGCCTCAGGAGCCAAAGTCCACCTGGAAACAATAGTAGGTCCAGCCCCCTAAGAGTTCAGTTTCTGGTCCAATTTTGCTTTCTTTTCCAACACACCTTGTTCCAACAACTACCCTCTACATCTTCGCCTCCCGTGTTACTTTACCCTCACAGCGCCCGCTCCCGCCCCTCCGTCACCCTACCTCAGTCTCAGAGGGGACGTGGTGCCGGCAGGGAGGGGAACTGTCCAAGGAGACAGGAATTGATGTGGAGCTTGCCCAGAGGCCGCCCAACAGGAGTAAAACGCCTCGGACCCATAAAGACCTACTCCAGCGCCGCTGGCTAGGGCCAGGGCCTGAACCGGTGGAACCTGCCACTCCATTCCACTCGGCCGCCATCTTCGGGCCGAGCGTCGTTACCATGGAGTACGTGACGTCCCCACCCTGCACCAGCTCCGCCCCTCGCCGCCGGCGGAATTTGATTGGCTAGCATCACCCCCCAGTTCACCGCGGACGAGTGCCGCGTCGCGGCCGTCGCGTCTCAAAGCGCAAAGCCTGCCAATAAATGCCATTTAGCGGACCACGTAAGTCGAGCTGTAGGAAGACCAGTGGGTATTGTAAGACGATGTTGGTATGAGGCCGCTTCTCTTCAATTCAGTTACTCACCTTAAAGATAGGCATCCACACTGGGTGCCAGGTGGCTTAAACAAACTGATGCAGAACCTTTAATGGTCTAGCCCTCTGTGTAAAGATGAATGGAATATAATTTTCATTTTTACTTTTTATCCTAAGTCACCAATTTTACCATTTCTTTACTAGTCATTTCTTAGAAAATCAATATATTCGTTCCTATTCAACCCCATCCCTTAACTTCTATAAAACAAAACAAGAATTAGGGGCGCCTGGCTGGCTCAGTCAGTACACGTGACTCCTGATCTCTGGGTAGTGAGTTCAAGCCCCACATTGGGTGTGGAGCCTACTTAAAAAAAAAACAACAACAACACAAAAACTGCAACAAAAAACAATCAAACAGAACCACAAGAATTCTAACTTCATTTAACCCAGGAAGAGACCAGGTGGATCCTTGCCATTAAGTAAACTACCTTCAATCTAGGCCATGAGGAACTGTAAAAAAAAAAAAAAAAAAAAAAAAAAAAGGAAAATTGGGGTATTTCCCCCAAGGCCCATTAAACAATTAAAACAAGTAATTGGAAGCACTGAACTGGAAATCATTTAACCAGAACTGAATACTGTAAATTACTATACTAGGAACTGGGGATAGGAAAGAAAGAATAGCCCCAAGATTGTGCCATTCATTGGTGAAGATAATGTACTCAAATTCAAGGGTGGGTCACTACCAGTAAAGGCTCATTACATAATGAGTCCATCATCCCACAACTAGTGGAAATTGGGACTCCAAACCAAATTTATCACTTTCAGGACACGTGCTTTTTCCACTACAAGATTACAAAGAAACTGAATTGTGAACAGAGAATAGCACCAGTCAACATCAAGTTCCTAATTTTAACAGTTGTGTCATACTGGGGAGAAGCTGTTTCAGTGATCCAGCCAACAAACTGCTAGCCATTCAGGCTCATTTCTCTGAAACACGGGATTGCTCCAGTGGTACCTTTGGCTTGAGGACTATCTTTGTACTCACCGAATCTTATTATGGGAACAGAAATGCATAAAGCACCTTCTCATTTACAAGTGCTGTATTATTAAATCAGTTGAAGAGGACAAATTTGCATGCAAAGTTGTTTTGCCACTGCATTTACTCAGGTCATCCTAGGGATTCTGACTTCTTTGCCCAAATGCCCACTTCCTGTTTATCCACCTCCATTACTCTACCATCATCCTTCTCAGAATACTGTATTCACTTAAAACTCCTACAAAGGTGACAGGTTTTGAGGTTTCCTCCTCTATATGCCTAATCCAGACATGAATATCCAGCTGCCTTCCTGGACATGTTCACAACTGAGTATCCTATAAGCTTCCTCAAACTCAACATCCCCACCCTCCCCAAATGATCTTCTGGTTCTTCAACTTCGTAAATGTACTATTATCCATCCCACAACCAAAGCTAGTAACATTAACTTTGAAGCTCCTCAGTTGGTCTTTGAATTCTCTTAATCCTTAGTACAGCATATAAAACCTGGCATAATCTGGCCATTTCTTAAGTTTTCTATTTATTTTCCAATTACTGCCCACAATATTAGGTTTCAGTTACACTACATAACCCAGAAGAGTTCCTCAGATGCCTTCTGCTTTCACATAAATCCTAAGTCAATTTTTTTTTAAGATTTTATTTATTCATTTGATATAGAGAATGAGCGACAAGAGTGCACAAGCAGGGGGAGGCAGAGGGAAAGCAGCAGACTCCCCACTGAGCTGGGAGTCTGACGCAAGGCTTGATCCCTGGACCCTGGGATCATGACCTGAGCCAAAGGCAGATGCTTAACTGAGCAACCCAGACACCCCCTAAAAGTCAATTTCTATGAAATACCTCCCCAAGCATTTCTTCCTCTATCCCTAACCACTCCAAGTATATTGATACATCTTTGGGGCACCAGGGTGGCTCAGTCGGTTAAGCAGCCCACTTGATTTTGGTTCAGGTCAAGGTCTCAGGGTTGTGAGATGGAGCCCCACATCCAGCTACAAGCTCTGTGGGGGGAGTCTGCGTGAGATTTTTCCCTTTCCCTCTGTCCCTCCCCCAACTCACACACTCTCAAATTTAAAAATAGTACTGATACATCTACTTAAATGACACAAGAGAATACTTTTAGATTATGTTGTTTCTTAACAACTAAATCTCACTGGTGGTCTGAGATTGGTACTTCTTGCCATTGACCCAATTTTTCTATGTCAATTTTCTTAGGGTTCTTTTTTTTTTTAAAGATTTTATTTATTTATTTGAGAGAGAGAGAGAATGAGAGATAGAAAGCACGAGAGGGACGAGGGTCAGAGTGAGAAGCAGACTCCCTGAGCAGGAATCCCAATGTGGGACTCGATCCCGGGACTCCAGGATCATGACCTGAGCCGAAGGCAGTCGCTTAACTGAGCCACCCAGGCGCCCTTCTTAGGGTTCTTATAACCAAATTGTGGCCATGAAATACACTGCTTAGATCTTGTGAAGAAAACATGGTTAACACTGGACCAAAGCTGCATCTGACCCATCCACCTCTTTTGCCTTGAAGCTATTCTTCCCAAATAAGCCCAAATGAGACTGGCAGTACAAGCACAAGGCCATTTCTGTGAAAGCTGGTATTTTTCCTTCCAACAGCAACTTTTGGCTTGAGGACCACCACTGGGCTAAACACATCTTTCTTCTAACTGCTGTATGCTACTCCAAGTATAGTTAAAAACTGTAAAAGGGGTTCAGTTTGACCAATTCTCAAGTTTCTTGTTGGTATTTTCAGTGGAAAGTCAAGATTTGGTGGTTAATAAAAGGATTAGCTGGCTGCTCCTGCAACAATCAAGTATCTACAGCCACCACACTGCAAACTGATGCCTTGGTTCAAACTTTATTTCAACAATTCAGAGATTTGAAATACCCTGCAGCCCTGCTTTAGTTTCATCTTACACTAAAATATCTCGATCCTACACTTTACTACATTAAAACATGGAACCAAACTACACTGTCTGGGCAACCTCCCCCCACTCCCAACTCACTAAGAGTACTTTTTTCTTGAGACATATTTTGTTTTTTTAACTTACAAATTATTACCAGTCAAGTGTTCCATAATGGCATGCTTTGTCCAGTCACACATCCCAAGGATATCTCATCCTTGCCTAGCTTAACAAGCTGCCAGATACTATCAATATAATCCTCATTTTAAGTTCTTACAACTATCATTTTTACATCACAAGTTTCCCAACCGATCTATATTAAGTGCATACACTTTAAGGTAATTAAGGAGGCCGTCAAAATAATTTTAAGTCTCTTTCACTGACTCCCAATCTAATGAGGAAGGCAGTTACATATAATATACCACAATACCAAAGTTGAAATATTAAGAGTTATAGATCCATTTTGATGCGGAAACCTGGCAAAGTGTTATGGTATGTATCTGTACTGGCTAATATTTCTGGCTTCTGTCCTTCCTGGAATACACAGTCTCCATTTGTACAAAAGCTTTTCCGACATATGCTCCATCACTTTAAAACTTCCAACATACTCCTTTTCCCACTGGCTCCAATCAAAGCTTGTTTCCCTCCCCCATCACATAAGACCTTGTATTAAGATACTCTAATCTCTCTACCCTCATTAAAACCCTCCTATTGTCTAAATCTCTGTAATTGCCGTTACATATAGCTCCCTGGCTTCCTTGTACTCTGAAAAAGCTGGATAATCGTCACCATTTAAATACAGCAACTTGAATTTAGGAAAAAGAAAATGGTAAGCCATTTAACAAAAATACAAGAGAACAAATCTACACCTTTATTTACTTTTCATTAAATTTAAATCCTTGAGGGGTACAGCATCTAGGAAGAAAAAAGAAAACATGGTGTAATTAAATGCATGTTATATACAAATTTGTAAATGTCAGTTGTGTACAACAATATGGATAAATCTCCTCCCACTGTCCCATTACTCATCTCTAGAAGGGATCCAGGGACTGCTTACATCTTAGCAGGGAGAGAACTAAGTTCTTACAGTACCTAGATGAACACACTTTAAGAACCAGTACAGAGAACACTGAAAATCCACTTAATTTTGCTTCTTCCAGTAACAGAGTAAAAACCTTCTGATGAAAAATCTCAATGGCTCAGAAGGGTTCAAAAGTACCATGTGATCCCAAGAATATAGCCCTGTCTACTAAAAATGAATACTAAGGAAAACAGGGGCTAATGGACTCAATGGCTTGAACCCAAGTCCTGGGACCTAGAAACATGAGCATCAGTTTTCTTATATAAAATAAGGCTAATAACACCTATTCTTTTTTTTTTTTTTTTAAAGATTTTATTTATTTATTCATGAGAGACAGAGAGAGAGAGAGAGAGGCAGAGGGAGAAGCAGGCTCCCAAGAAGCAGGGAGCCCGATGCGGGACTCGATCCCAGGACCCTGGGATCATGACCTGAGCCGAAGGCAGACGCCCACCCAGGCGCCCTAATAACACCTATTCTAACAAGACTTTCATGATGAAGAAACGGGAATATCATGAATTATGCCAGGAAAATTTTTTTCTTTTCTAACAATCACTTCTGTGTTCAATAAATCTTTGCCAGAAAATTGTTCATTTAAATACTATCCCCCCCAACCCCAAGCTTTAGCAAAATCTGAAATCTAGATACAATCCATCTGAACACTTTGCCTTCACTTTCCTTCTAATGCCAGGAATCTGATATTTCATAATACATCTACACAGTAGCAGATGATTCTGAAGCACAACTCATGGGGTGATTTTAAAATCACAATAGTCTTTAGAGATCAGAGCCCAAACCCCTGAGCTTAGTTTGCCCCGAGTGTCATACTGCTAATAACTGTACTTACCACACGGATTCTGTGGCCAATGGCTTTAGCAGGAAGGTTGCTTCGGAATTTGGCACGAACCATGCCACTGTTTCCATGAGCACGAGTTACTTTTCCCCAGATTACTCTGGTTTTGTTTGGTTTGCCACCAGGAGTCACTGTGTTGCTGGTTTTGAAAGGGGATAAGAGAGGTGAGAGGTGAGAACCCAGGCAACTAGTGTAGAGTGATACAAATTCAAGGTGACCTCTAGACCAGTGGTCACCAACTCACAACTGTAGTTAACCACTAAGTCACCTGACAAACTAAAAGTCTGGGGCATCATTCATTCAACAAATATTTGAGTACCTACTGTATGCCAGACACTTTTATAAATGTATCTTTTGTAATTTTACAAAATACAAAATTGCAGTTTACAAAAAAAATCCTTTTGAGATAACCAAGTATTAAGTAAAATATATTAAATGTCAGATGATAATAGCTGCAATATTTTTAAAAAATATGGAAAGGCAGAAGATATCATGGAGTGAATCCTAGCTGGGCTAAGATTAGAAATAAAAAGCCCTGAATGAATAGGGTCTGAAAGCCTCCTTAATGACATTTGTTTTTACTAAAGACGGGGGAAAGTTGGTATCTGAGCAACGGGACAGGTGATTTGACTTATAAATCATTCTTGTGCTGGAGGAATGGGGGGCAAAGATGAAAGCCATGTCCCCAGAAATTTTAATTGGTTTAATGAGTTTAACAATCATTTTTAAGCATGTATACAACATAATTTCAAGAAAGCAACAAAATGAATTAAAGTACATGAAAAAATGCTCTGTAACACCTTAAGAGGCGCATAATATAAGGAGTTGGTTCCTTCCTTGAAACGATTAACAGCTGTAATCTTTTTAAGTGCAGAAGATACCTAAATCCAACACTACCCAGACAAGTAACATCCTTCAATAACCTCCCACGAAGTTCCTTAAAGATCCAAAGTAGAAAAAACACAACAGCACCAAATAGTTTACCATCTTTTGATGATTCTTCTTTGAGCAGGAAAAAGAAACCAATCTCAACTAAAAATTTAAAAGGCATTATTAATACTATAAACTTACTTCTTTGCTTTGTACACATAAGCACATCTCTTGCCTAGATAGAATTCCGTTTCATCTCGAGCATAAACACCTTCGATTTTAAGAAGAGCTGTGTGCTCCCTCTGGTTCCGGAGACCCCGCTTATAGCCAGCAAAAATGGCCTTGGACCACAGCCTAAGACAAAACACACAGTAACTTTAAGTTGTTAAAAGATCTCGTTTCACGTCACTGATAAGATCTGACTTGTAATGAGCCCTACTCAAATGTTATCTACAGCAAATATCTAGTTTTTTCCCACCAGTTTTAAGCTCATGTTTATGCTCAAGGTTAAGACAAAAAACTACAAATACAAAACAATTATATTTAAAACCCGTACCTTCCAGACATTATTTGGCGTTACAGGAGTCCTGTTCCCAGCAGGCCTTAAAACAAACAAAAAACCAGTTTAAAATGTTGGAACGCACGTTTCCCACCCGGTCCTCTCTCCGTTTCTTAAACCTATCAGGCACATTCCTTTTTGCTCGGCATTTCACGTTAAGAGTACGGGGAAACATAACTATACTATGACATCTACATGATGCACAGTCGGGCAAGACTTCCCAACCTCAGAGAAAGCCTAGTAACTGAGCAAACTCCAAAATGAAAACCACTACGAAAAGTATCAAGACTCCAGAGTAAAACAAGTAGCTCCTGAAAACTCCGAAAGGAAGCCCTGAGAAAACTCATACCACGATCAGCAGGAACAAAAATGAAAAGCGAGTAATCAGAGAAGCACACAGAAAGACAGGAATTGTATGGGAAAGGAAATGCTGAGGAAACGGAGACTGTAGACCTAGTCAGGTCTGGAGTGGGAGCGTACGGAAAAAGAACTCATCCTAAAGGACCACTGCCTCAAACAGGGAACTACATACGGGCAAAGCGCATCTATTACTCCGCTAAGGGCCACGAAACAACCGATTACGGGAGCGCCCGTTCTCCGGGCGTGCGGGGATCAGCACAATCAGTCCCACATCTCCTCAATCCTGCCCTCCCTGTTGCTGGAATCCATAGAAATCACTGGCTGGCAGAGCCTCCCAGCTGCACCAGTGCCCTGCCGAGGTATACGGTTGAGCTCACCGCACTTATTTGCACCTAAACTTCAGCAACAAAAGCTCCCCTCACCTCCACAGGCTCCAAGATGGCGGAAAAAGAAAGGCGAAGCCCCGTCGCGTGGCCTTGTGGGATAAACACCGCTCGGCCCCGCCCCCAGCTTAGGCATCTTCCGCAACCGCCAGAAAAAAATAAAAATAAAAAGCCTCAGATGTCTTTGACTGAAACAAACCACATTCAAGTACACTCTTATAGTTCTTTCTCTAAGTCCTTTCATCTTTGTGAGCTGTAACACGTATTTTATAACAGAGGGAGGCGAGATGGTAGCCAGCTAGAGGAGGAGAAGAAAAGGGCCCCCAAAGCTGAGCGTTGCCAGAGAAACACCAGAGCTTGGTTCCTTAGTGGAAAAAGTGAAGGCAGATTGCAGGATATCTCCCCGCCTCGGGTATCCCAGATTTGATTCGCCAACATGGGGGCATCTTTCCCTCCGACTACAGAGGAGTAGGGTGAACGGAGACTCTCGGATCCTAGCGTGGAACAGAAAGGCCAGGAGCACGAAGGCAGGACGAGCTCTTCCCTTCTCTTTTAAGTTTTCCCCCTTACTTCTTTCCTCCTACTCCTTTATCTCTTTCAAGAAATGACCTAAGTTCTTACCCACAGCCTTCGTTTTTGACTCGACTGAATAGGACTGCCCTGAAAAGGCCTTAATGCCTTTTAAAGAGCACCGTGCCTACACGAAATAGGTCTTCAGTCAATACTTGGAGACGAGAATGAGATAGATTAGTGGATATAAGAGATTTACATTGCCTAATTATTGCACATTTATTTGGGTTTCTCTATGCTTCATTCATTTACCCAGCAATTTATTGATTAACTACTATGTACCAAGCTTTGTTCTTGGCTCGGAGAACACTGCAGTAAACGAAACCACAGAAGTCTCTGCCCTCATAGAGCTTACATCCTAGTAGGGGGAGCAAGACAATAAGCAAGTAAAATATATGGCACATTAGAAGGTAACGTGAGAAAAATTTTCTCTATCGAGAAAAAAAATTAAGCAGGGAGGCCACTGTAAAAAAGGGTTTTACTATGAGATGAGAAACCATTTGAGGGTTCTGGCTGGAGGAGTGACTCCATCTGACTTCCATTTTAGCAGGGTCACTCTGTTGAGACTGAAGGGAAGCAAGAACACCAGCAGGAAGATGAATTAGGAGGCTATTGTAGTGAACCCGATAGATGATGGCATGTAGATAGGGGTGATAAGTACTGGAATTCTGAATATATTTTAAATGTAACCCTGAGAGGATTTGCTGATGGATAAGGAATGGGAGAAAGGAGTAAAGGGTGACTCCAAAGTTTTATGAAATAGTATCTATAAATCATATTTGAAGTCCTTTCATAAATACATCAGGATAGAATGTTTGTACCTTATAACCCACTCCCTCTATCTATTTTCTTTGTCCCAGAAATACACTAAAAGTCCCACTATTAAATGTACTAGAAATCCAAATGTAAGTAGTCCTGGGAGGAATAACGCATTAAATGTGAGTTTTGTTTCTTTGTTCTTTAATTCACTATACAAATACTTTTTGACCGCAGTGCCTGAAACAGGCTATGATAGTGAGCGTCACTATCACGTTCCTGCTTTTATGACACTTAAGTTTAGTGGGGGAAAATGACAACATTACACATTGTGAGGAGAACTCTGCAGGAAAATAAGAGTGCAATGAGTGAACAGTGGAGTCCTGATCCAGCCTGATGAGTCAGGGAAAGCGTCACCTGCAGAAGTGTCATTTAGGGCATTTTTCAAACTGCAGGTGAAGGCCCAGTAGTAGATTGTGATTATAATACTTTATAGTATTATAGGCAAAATATGATAGAATCAAAGGCATCAATATCATATTAAGGATAAATTGTTATATGAAACTTGTTTCAGTTATTTGCATGTATGTATATTTATATATATGTATGCATGTGCACACTATGTATAAAAATCTCTGTATATAGGTCATTGCATCAGTCAGTGTTGCCTGGATGGAAACAATGATAGAGTTCAGAATTTCATAAAGGGTCTGCTTACAAAAGTGTAGGCAGGAGTGAAACTATAAGGGATGACGTAGTCTCCAGGGACATGGGGCAGAAACAGTTACCCAAGACCCCAAGAGAGAGCAATGTGGAGAGGATTGCCTGACGGGTGCCATGGCCTTTAACAGAGAAACATAGCCAACCAATGGTGATCTGGCAGGGAGGGAGCTGAGAGGGTAGCAGTTGATCTCACTCTCCTACACTTACGGAACCTCCTGTGGATGCACTCCATAAGGGTCAATCTCTCAGGGTGTAAGAGATGGTGGTAATTGATTTAGAGCAAATGACAGATGCCTAGCCAAATGCCTTTGATTTAGGCTGGTACCTGATGGATCAGTGGGACTTTACAAGGTGAAGAGTGAGGGGAAGAATGTTTCAAATCAAAGGAATAGCGTGTGCAAAGACCCTGAGTTGGAAAGGGGCATGATTCCATAGAACTGAAAGAAGCCCATCGAGCCTGGAGCCATGAGAGCAAGAAAAGGGCAGTGCCAAGTGGATATCTGAAGAGGAACAGAGCAGGCCAGATCATGCAGTTTAGAATTAGAATCCAAGTTTAGAATTTTAGCTTTCGTCCTAAGGCAATGGGAAATCATAGAAGGGTTCTAGGGAAAGACATGATTAGATTTTCAGTTTTAAAAAATTGATTTTCAATTCTTCGTTTAAAAAATAAGACAAGATGAAATCAGAGAGGGAGACAAACCATAAGAGACTCTTCATCATAGGAAACAAACTGAGGGTTGCTGGAGGGAACGGGGTGGAAGGATGGAGTGGCTGGGTGATAGACATTAAGGAGGGCATGTGATGTAATGAGCACTAGGTATTGTATGAGACTGCTGAATCACTGACCTCTACCTCAGAAACCAATAATATATTACATGTTAATTAATTGAGTTTAAATTTAAAAAATGGGGAAAAAAGAAAATACAGTTTGGGGCTGGATTGAAGAGAAATGAAAGCCATTAGAAATGTAATTTCAGTTTAAACATGCAAACTATTTAAACACAGACTAAAATGAAACATTTGGAAATTTGATTACATATTTTTCCCTTTAAACTAATAGTTTTTTTTTTTTTTTTAAATACTGACTTTTAGAAGAGGATAGCAAGGTAATCACATATTTGGGGAATGACAGTTTTTCCAAGAATCATGAGAAGCCTAACATCCCATTATAAAGTTAGAGCTGGAATACTCTAGATTAAATAATGAGTTGTCTCTTTTAGATATTGATACACCAGCCATTTCCTTAAAAAAGTAAACAAATTATAACAAGAAAATTTTATTCTTCCACCTTCTGGACCATAAGAAACTTGCTTTCTGTGAAATGCTATTTGCTGGGCCTTCCTGTTGATTGTCATGGGTAACTCCTGCTCCCTTATTATAACTTATTTCCAGCTGCTTTACATCCTCACTTGTATTTCCATTTGCAAAATAAAAAATAATATATAATCATTCTTTCAAACGAAAAAAAGATCACTTCCAATTTGGGGGCTATTAGAGTTGTTCAAGCAAGAAACAACTGTCAGGTCCAGCATGGTACTGGGGGACATGGAAATAGAAGATAAAATCCACAGGACTTCGTGATGGTTTGGATTGGGAAATGCTGGTGTCAAGATGAAGGAGGAATGGGGGCGCCTGGGTGGCTTAATCAGTTGAGCCTCTGTCTTTCGGTTCAGGTCATGATCCCAGGGTCCTGGGATCCAGCCCTGAGTTGGGCTCCCTGCTCAACGGGGAGCCTGCTTCTCCCTCTGACCCTCCCCCTGCTCCTTCTCTCTCTCAAATAAAGAAATAAAATCTTAAAAAAATAATAAAAAAGATGAAGGAGGAATGACTCCTAGATTTCTAGCATTGAGGAATGAGAAGCCAGAACGGCATGAACACACTGGATACTGGATCAGCATAGCTTTATCTTACCTGCATGAAGCACATTACCTATGCCCCAAACTTTAAAAAAAGGAAAAATAGAGAAACAACAACACATCAAAAGAACAAAATCTTCCTTACACCATGATACTTCCTCTTAAAACTGCCCTTGTACCCGAAAATTTGGCTAGTTCGGTGTATCTTTTTCAATTTACATAAAGATTCTGTTTTATATGTTTTCATTTTTACATATGATAATTCTGTTGTATGAGATATATTTGTATCCCCCTTCTTAGGATCACTTCGTTGTGGACAAAATCATACTGGAAACTTACCATTTATTATTCATTTAGCATAGAGCAAAATTCTCCATAGGGTGTTTTCATTGTAAAGCTTGTTTAAACAGAAAGGATTTTGGCTTATCGTAACATCTTGATAGTAATAGTAAACTGATTTTCAGGAGAAATACAGCTTTTCTAAATACAATCTCAAGTGTTCTTCTAAGTCCAGGTGCAATAAATTTTGTTATCTGACAGATCAGTGAGATGGAATGATCAAATTAAATATTTTAGTAATCAGAATAACAAAAGTAAATCTATAGATATTGCCAGTTAAAAATCAGAATATAATAAAAATACGAAAACCATGTTGTACATTACCATAAGAAGAGACTCAAAGATTGCATTTATCAATAATTACTTTTGGGGCGCCTGGGTGGCTCAGATGGTTAAGCGTCTGCCTTCGGCTCAGGTCATGATCCCAGGGTCCTGGGATCGAGTCCCGCATCGGGCTCCCTGCTCCTTGGGAGCCTGCTTCTCCCTCTGCTTCTCTCTCTCTCTCTCTGTCTCTCATGAATAAATAAAATCTTTAAAAAAAAGTAATATGCTTTTGTCATTAATTACATGATGTCAGGGGTTCTTCTATCTCCGGGACTGCTCTAATAAGCAAAAAGAAGGGATAAGCTGCAGCTCTTGTAATTCTTTAATTTTCTGTTATGAAAAGGGTATAGAAGTAATTTAATTATCATTCAACACTTCCTTAAACTAATCTCAATGTTTTCTTCCCATTTTAGGTGACTGCATTTTTTGTGAGATTGTAAATGTACCTCGGAAGTTACAATTAATTTAAGAAGAATGGGAGAGTATGTTCAAAATTCCAATTTATTTTGTATACATATTTATTTATTTATCTATTTAAATTACGCCTTATGTTAAATTTATT